CCTCTATCCTCTGTGTCTGGTTAGTTATTCTTCACAGTGTCATTTCTGCTCACATTACTCTTCTCTCCTTTTTTAGTTATTTTTTTTTATTTTTGGTTTTTCAAAAAAGGGGTTTCTCTGTGTAGCTTTGGCTGTCCTGGACCTCACTCTGTAGACCAGGCTGACCTCAAACTCAGAGATCCATCTGCCTCTGAGTGCTGGGATTAAAGGTGTGTGCCGCCACCTTTAATGGCACACTCCTCTCTGCATTACAGATGGTACATTTCCCCACCATAAGCTTTAGTCATATTAATTCCTCTTGTTTAAGTCTCCAGTCTGAGTCTGGTTGTGATGCTTGCACTGTCTTTCTACCTACGTTCTCTTTGTCCTGCTGACCGTCTTGTAATTTTGTGACGAGAGCCAACATGTCATACTGAATGAAAGGAAATGGCATGGATAAGGTCTTTAAAAGGGTTTTAGAATTATCCAGCCAAGAGGTATGCCCTTTGTACTGCCTGCCATCTCTGTAATCAGAACATTTCCTCTTTTATTCCTGTCTCCCACATTCTGCCTTTCGCTGGAGAGTCTTCTGAACTGTGAGATTTTCAGCTGCATTCTCTTCTGATTTCCCTGGGGCTGCACTGACAATACTGTGCAGGGGAGACAGTTTAATCACAGGATTAAATCTCAGTGTTTAGCCTGGAGTCTGGACCTTGGCTATCATAACTACATCTCTGCTTTGTTTTATTTTGCCCTCTTATATGTATATCACACACACACACACACACACACACACACACACACACACTTCAGCATGATTAGGAAGGTGGAGAAGTTTAATACGACAAAGACAGAGAAGCAACAGAAGTTGATAGATTTGCAGGGTGGACTGAGCAGCTTGTGGGGAAGATCTTGTGAAGCACATAATCCATCTTGGGGGCATGAACACTGACCTGGATATATTGAATAGATCATTTAGGGATGTAGTGTGTGTGGGTGGGGGTGGGGTAAGACCCCTCCTGTCGTACGGTCATTTCTTAGCCTTTCAAAACTTCTATAATCCATTTGCATTTTAAAAGATACATGACAACCTAAAGCTTATTTCCCCACAGTGGAGGACATTGGGTTGGAGTATGTTCAGCTCCTGTAGTTCAGGGTTCCTTTCTTAGGAGTGAGGCTGTACTCTCAGTTCGAGGATACTGTCTTATCTAAACAGACCAGGGCTCCATCAAGTCAATGCTCTGCTTTCCTGTTTCTTTTGGGAGTTGTCTTCCTTCCATCCACAAATGTGTTGGAACAGCGAGGTTCAACCCATCTTTTTGTTTTGTTTTGTTTTCCTTGAGTCAAAGTTAAGTTATGACAACAGCCATGATCCCAGACAGGTTCTTCTCGGGCAGCTTGCATTGTTCATCCTCAGAAGGATAACTTCAGGGAGCAGAGTAGTTTCTCACTTACTGTGAGGGAGACAGAATATGTGAAGAGGATGCCTGCTGAGTCTAAGTATTAGGACAGAGGATGGAGTCTGCCTGGGAGGGTGTGCAGAATAGGGCAAGCCAACGGAGGCCCCGTATCTCACTCTCCAGAAGTGAGTCAAAGTGAAACACACACAGGACGGTATTGATTCTGTAGGGAATGTCATCTTGGAGGCTTTAAAGAGATTATAGATGGATTGGATACAGATTTTTAATACTTTTTCCTCAATGCTGAGAATTGAACTTAAGGCCTTCTATATGCTAATCAAACAAGCTTTGTACTGTGGAGCCTCAAGCCCAGGAGTACAGGTGTATAGAAATGTTTAATCCCCATTCTACACCAAAAAAAAAAAAAAACAACTTTCTTGATGAAGATTACAAAACTGAGAAAGAGTAGAAACTATTAGAAAAACAAAATATTAAGGAGGAAGGGTGCTTAATACATTTTATTATTATTAATATTTTTCAGGCTCTGTGCAAAGTGTTTCACAAGCAATATTCTATATGACATCACCATAACATTATTTTATGAGAAAAAAAGAAATCATTGTATGGCTAGCATTTGAACCTAGATGTAACTTTGACACCTGAATTCTTAGTGACTCAACTGAAGAGCCCCAAATAACATTCTTAATTGGCATCCTGTAACCATGACCTTTATCTTCAAAGAAGAAACAACGTAACTGTGCTGTGTCTTGAGATACAAGAGGGCAGAAGAGGGCAGAGGAGTTGGGAGTGGCTCTGTTCACAGGGACATTTGCCTAAGACTCTGGGACTGCTCACCCTTCAATAGTGATGAAGCCCTTTTTTCTTTTTTCCCAGAGAGTATCACAGCACCACAGGCCTCTGTCTAAAAACAGACCTGTCAGTAGATGATAGATGCTTAAATAAGAAAACTGCATGGTCCACTCTGAGTTTTCTCCAGCAACATTTCTAGTACAGCGATTTAAGAAAAAAGAAGAAAAAAAGGAAGAAGAAGAAATAAATGAATCTCTGAGCACACTTACAGTAGAAACCTAAATTGAGTCTTAGGAAACAGACCCTCTAACACTATTGAAAAACCTGCTTTTAAGGAAAATACGGTTTAGCTTAAAGAGAAACTACTGTCAGCCCACCCCAAATTTAGATTCAGTTCATTTTCAGAGGGCACACAGTTGTCATCATATTTTTATTATTATCACTCAATTTTGAGGAATAGAAACATTTCAGTAAAGTAAAAAGTGAGTGTGAATATCAGTACGCAGTTGCCACACTACACATAAGGAAACCAGAACACAAATTTTAGGAGTTGTTTTTCTTCCACTTTGCTTTGAAGACAGGTCTCACTCGTCTGTCACTCCAGGTTGGATGGCCCATGAAGGCGAAATCAATTCTCCTGTCTCTCTCTCCTATCTTGCTGTGTCAGGGCTGAGATTACAGATGCATGCCACCATTTCTGGCCTTTCAATTGGGATTTGGGATCCAATTCAGGTTATCAGGCTCAAGTAGCAAGTTCCTTTTGCACTTAGTCATCTCTATGCTGAGATTACTGGGGGTATGCTGTCTGGAACACAATTTTGATTATCAACAAATCAATAATTAGGTGAAGGGGAGAAAGGGAGAACCTAAAAAGATGCCCTCAGAAGCTATTATCCCACTATCCATTGCCCTCTGAGTGGCTAGGTTTCTGCTTTCTATCAGAGAACACTAATGACAAGCTTGCAAAGTACTCAGAAAATGTCCTGAGAGCTGGCTCCATCCAAGCCCCTCTGCACACCATTCCCAGCTCCACTAGTATCAAAATCACTCTGCTTTGAAGGTTATAGAGTACACAGCTCACAGCTCAAATGTGATTTAGCCAAGACTTGTCTAACCTTGAACCAGAGCCACAGTCATCCATCAGAGCTATTCCAATTAAGTTAGCATTAATGATGGCTAAATGTCAAAACCAGAACCTGGGCATTGAAACACACACAGAGATAGTGTCTGGTACTTCTTGTATGCATCCTCAACTCCAGGATGGCCTGGACAAAGGGAGTGTTTGTTCAGTTTAGCTCACTCTCCACAATCAGAAGGCTGATTGTGTCAAGTCAACTTTCCTCTCAGGAAAAATATCAAAGTACAGAAGTGTTAACCAACACAAAAGCACATGGCTCTTGGGTCCCAGACCTGTGCTCTGCTTTTTCTCAAAGCCAGGCCTATTGACTTCTTTCCTCAGTGGCATTTGGAGTCGGGCCACAGCCAGCTGCCTTAGCAACACCTTAAAGTTCTCAGTCAAGATCTCAGGACGCTCTCAGACCCACAGAGTCAGAGGTTCTGATGAAAGCAGTCATTTGTTCTCTCTGTAGTTAAGGCTTTAGCTGTTTCTGGTGTACACTGAGTTCTCATACACAAGGGCCCAAAGTCTCCAAGCAAGCACAAAAGAGAACTAGAGAGGTCCACTTCATTTTGAGATCAAAGCGAAGTAGCTTTAAAAGATTGTGTTTGGGTTGGGGCATGACGAAGAACGTTTCCCAGCTGGCAAGTAAGAGGTAGGAGAGATATGTAACTGAGTGCCGTGAGTCATAGTCAGAGCAAATGACCTTTCCCTTGTCAGGGCCCGTCATTAAAAACGAAGAAAAATAGTGGGCTTCCATGTTCCAAGGACAAAACGATTAAAGCCGGGGTTGTTTTCTCTTTTAATAAGATTCTAGGTTACCAGTAATATTTCTTGTTCATGAATTCACTTGCTGATTTCCCATTTAAAGTGACCCCAGAAATAATGCAAACATATCTTATTAGTAAGATCATACACACACACACACACAGAGAGAGAGAGAGAGACAGACAGACAGACAGACAGACAGAGCCTGTTATATAATCTATGAGAGCTGAGTCATTAGATTCCTGCCTGATTCTTTGTTACCTTACTAATCTGGGAACATCACCACTTCTTCTTGCCTAGGACAAACATGCTGACATTTACAGAGGGACAGACAGACACTCTGACATATCTTTTGGGCTTCTCAATTTATCTATTCATGTATAGTGCTAAAGCAGGGCTTGATTCTTCCAGATGACCAGGCTACACCAGCTTGGAAGAGAGGATCTGTATATAAAGTAACAGAAGGTGCTTAAAAGCACCACTTTCAAATTAGCCTTTATTATACTTCTATTATCCTATTTGCTTATGGTTTATTGATTACATAGAAAACAAATGTATTCTTAACATAAAAACCCACAAAACTGTTGCAGCTGATTTTTATGCCAACCGGCACCTGTCTGTTTCAAATACAAGAAATAAACACTCTTTTTTAAAGAAATAACGTTTTTTACAATTGAATAGAGTTCAGAATTTACAAACAACGCTGACCATTACTGTGGTTCATTATAGGGTCAGAAACAAAAGTAAACAATTCCGTGTGAGACAGATTTACCTTTATACATTTCTAAAAATATTACAACACGTAATTAATAAGTTAAGATAAAATACATTCTTTGCCTAAAATAAAAATACTGAAATTTAGTAATCAGCATAGAGACCACGTAAGAAATAAGATATAATTTTGGAAGACATTGAAGCAGCTTAACTTATATTCTAATATTCTGTTCATACGCAGCTAAGAGCAAAAGAGAAAGCCAGCCTAGGATCAATCCAACGTTCTGCAGCAGAAACGTCATCCAGGGTCGTTGTGTTTGAACATGAGTCATTTCAGGAAGCTAAAAAAAGAACGAAAAACCAGAATAAGATCCAGATATATTCAACTGCTGAGAAAAGCTTGGTGGGAAAGCACGAGGCACTCTGTTATTCAAGACTTAATAATCTTCAAAATTCCCCAAATAGTTGCCCAGTGTTTAGTACCTACTCCTGCCATTAGTTTGAAATGTAAGCTAAATAGAGCCACTTGCTGGTGACTGGAAGGACTCTCGCATTGGCAGAAGTCTTAAAATGACACAGCTGTCAACGGAAGCCAACTTTCCCTTTGTTTTCAGGATATGTTTAAATGTGAGATAAACAAGGCATGAAAGCTACAATTTCGGATTGCTCCATTAGGCTTATGAAACATCTAAATGGACCAGCTTCTGCAAGGTGCTCATGTTTATTTACCATCAAAGGGAAGACCAAGGTCCCCATGACCTTTAGAACAACAAAGACATCATTTCCTAGGACTGTATTTAATTCTCAAAGAGACAAGTGGAAATAGTTTCATGCCTATCAAATGTCACAGCGCCATTTGGAAGAAAAGGTGCATCCAGGCTTCTGTAGAAGGAGCCCAGTGTGGTTTGGGCTTGTATTAGTTCAAATTCCTTACCCTAACAAGGTCATAGAGAGTAACAAGCCAGATTGTTTCCCTTGGAATGCATGGTCTCAGGTCCGTGTATTCACTCATCTAACTTAATGTTGGCATCACTGAGAGCCACTGTTGGATGCTTAGTTGTGTCCTTGGCTTCCACTAGATGGCAGTTAGTCTAGATGTCATGGGCACCTTTGGCCCCTTGTAATGACAACCAGAAATAGATAACTATTTTTCTGGTACTCTGGTAATTAATATACATCCAGATTATATTAGTTTATATGTATAGTGGACATTATTTATTCTTAAGAGCTTAAATTTGGTGGTATTCTTAAAGAATTAACAATACCAACTGAATTTACCCAACTTCTTTAAATGTCAATAGTTTAAAACAGTTTTGGCAGTTAACTCCAAAGCGAGGCAATATAATTATATTTCAATTATATCACCTGTGGTCACTTAATTTTGAATAAACTTATTTCCAAATACTGAGGTAAGATTCCCTTTCTTCCTTAGTTTGCAAATCAGATAGTTGTCACTTACTGTATGTGGCTGAATTAGCAGCACACTCCAGGCCTAGTGGCATGTACCTGTAGTCCCAGGATGTGGGAGGTGGAGGAAGTAGAATCAGAAATCATCTTCATCTATATAGAAAGCTTGCCTCCAGTGTGGGATACGTCAGACTCTGTCTCAAAAACTAAGTCACAAAAATTCAAGCAGCTGTTTAATTTCTTACTGTTCTTTATTAACCTAGACCTATGGACCTGCTGCTTACTTGGAGTGTCTAGCAGATGGCAAAGAGGAATGCACCTGTCTGTAGCAGCCACAGAACCTCTGCCAGGGAGACGTTCATTAGTCCTGTATTCGACGCAGATGGCATTCTGCTCAAGCAAACACCACAAATACTGCATGCTCCAAGAACAGCGTTCTCATAGACTATAATTTTAAAGTGCTTGCACTATAAAATATGATGTGCATTCTATTTGATTTGCATATACCCTCATTCATATACCGTTCCTGTGTTTCCTTTGCCTCCCTTACTCCTCACAATCGTCTGAGAGATAAATTGTTTAGCCCCTGTATGTAGAATCAACGCCTCTACAGATGTGAGACTAGACCCAGGGCAGAGCCAAGTCCGCTCCTTCAGGAGTACAAAGGCCAGCTCTGTTTGCAGTTCACCCTTGCCTGTTGTGAAAATTCCTCCTGTATCATTAGAACAAAAGGTTGGAAAAAACAAAGTTAAAAGGTGCTCCTTGCTCCTCATCAAACAAACTTGCTTTTGGAACAAAGGCTATCAGGGAAATCCACATCTGGCTAAGTGCAGAGAATAATAGGCAGCTGTGGGCATCAACCCCAACTGGTAAATATATAATACAGCCCCTAGCCTAGGGTAGAGGAACACCGTGGTAGAGGAGGCACAGAGACTGTAAGAGACAGAGAACCATGTGGTCTATTGGACATCATGTTATCTACAAATGATATGAGAGCTTCACTAGTGAAATCTCAAGTATATGGTCACTTAAACGAGACCTTCACTACATGCCAGCATGTGTGGGAGATGTGTGTCTCACAAGGTTCCATCCATAAATGAAGAACAACAGGCAGTTAATGGTTGCTGAGGAAAGAGAATCAGTCTTCTCAGAGGATGAGCCTCCTGACAGGTTATCCAATTCTAAGTGGTCAGCCATAAACACATACAAACAACATTAACTGGGCTCAGCAGGATGTGTGAGTGTGGGTGTATTTATATGTGTATTTGCATATATGTCTATAGCAATTGTTAAAAAAAGTTCATGAATTTGAGGAGAAGACCTGGGAGGAGTTGGAGTGAAAGAAAAAAGGCAGTGAGAAAATTGGAAATGATATAAATACAGTATTCATGTATGAAATTCTAATGTGTATATATAAAATTTTAATTTAAAGAAAGTCCCATACAGTTTAGAAGGAAGGAATACTACCAAAGTAGCTCTATGAATTTCTAATAATAATTAACAAATGATGGATGAAAAAAAAGCATATAGATCATTTTCCTGATGGATGTAAGATTCAAAATTCTCAACAAAATACTTGTAAGTCAAATTTGGAAAAACATTTTTAAAAAATCATATACCTTGATTAAATTAGCTTCATCCCAAAAATGCAAGGACGTTTCAACATATGCAAATCATTAAGTGTAATATAGTAATGCATATATTTATGTATTGAAATCACATAATTATCTCAAATGGATGCAGAAAAGACCTGTGACAATGTTCAATATCCTTTTATGATACATGATACTAGGAATATGTGCTAGATGGCTTTTTGTATTTGTTAATTAGTTTGTTTTTTAATTTTATCAACTTGATGCAAGTTAGATTCTCTAGAGTCATCTAGGAAAAGTGAGAAATTGCCTCCATTAGAATGGCCCACAAGCATGTATTTCAGGCATTTTCTTGATTGATGATTGGTGTGGGAGGGCCCAGACCACTGTGGGTAGTGCTACCTCTAGGTAAGGCCTGGGTTGTACAAGGAAGCAAACTGAGCAAGCCAGTAAGCAGCATTCTTCCATGGTCTCTGTTTCTGTTTCTGCTGAGTTCCTGTCCTGATGTCCCTTAAAGTTGGACTGTGAAATGTAACTATCAGTACTCTCCATCCCGCTGGCTCCCTGGACCGGTTTCTCTCCAGGTCCAGCTCACTAGCTCCTGCAACTGCTTATGAAATAACCACTCTAAGACTTATTATCAGTCACATTTGTCTGACCAATGTCTTAGGTTTCTTATTGGCTAGCTCTAATTATTAAATGTGCCCATTTCTACTAATCTGTGTATTGCCACAAGGTTGTGGCTTACCAGAGAGACATGTTACTCCTTTAGCAGCTACATGGCATCTTCTCATTCTGTCTTCCTTCTCTGTCTCTTCTTTCAGATTCCCCACCAAGTTATAGTCTGCCTGTCCATTGGACAAAACAGCTTTTTTCATCGACCAATAAAAGCAACACATATAAAGAAAGACATCCCACATCAGTGACATGAAAGTATAATCCAAATAAACTCTTTTCTCCTTCAAGTTGGTTTTGGTCAGTACTTTATCATAGCAATGAAAACAAGGATTGAATAAAAGAATATTACCTAACATAACAATTCCTAAAGTGCTGTCTCTTCCAACATTATACTAGGAAAAATGAATGTGTTAGGTCTAAAATCAAGACTGAGACAGTGATGTCCACTTTCCAGTCACCTAATATAATGTTTGAAATTGTAGCTAGAGCTAAGAAATACAAAATGACGCAAACAGGAAAAGAAGATGATGTGATAATCTACTGAAAGATACAATAGTCTCAGCCAGAGAAGTCTTAGGTCTGACGAGCACGGTAAAATAGCAAAATACAAAATCTACAGACAAATTAGTAACTTTTCTAAACGCCAAACTTACAAGAAAGAAATCGGAGAAATATTCCCATTGACAATAACTTAAATTTAAATAAGCCTAAACAAGGAAATAAAGGACCTTTACAATGAACACTTTAAAAACAATGAAGAAAGAAACTGAAAGAGATACCAAAGCCTACGGATTGGCAGGACAAATAATGTCTTTAATATGAAAACTGATCTACCAATTAAATACAATCTCTGTAAAATTTCCAATGACTTTTTCACAGAACTAGGAAAAAGCTAAAATGTGTATGAAAATGTAAATGATCACATGAACAACCAGATCAGTCAGCAGCAGAAAGAGCAGCGCTGGAAGAAACACAATATTTGATTGCAAATTATACTGTAGACCTACAGTTACAGAAGAGTATATTAGTGGCAAAATAAAAACTTTATGAAAAATGAAATATAAAAAAGGCCCCAGAAATAAACTCACATAATTTTCAACAGTGATGCCAAAAATAAATAGAAAAAAGATGGCCTCTCTAACAAATGGTGCTAGGAAAACTGCATCCACCTGTAGAAGAATGAAACTAGGCTCTGATCAATCACTGTATAAAAAGAATCTACCTATTCAAAACGGATTAAAGACTTTAATGTAATCACTAAGAGAAAACACGTCAGAACACAACTATCAGTAAAGACTTGCTGAAAAGGCTCCAATAACCCAGGAAATAATGGTAAAAATTGACAAGTGAAGCTGTGTAAATGAAAAAGCTTATGCACAGCAAGGAAGCTGACTGTGCAAGAAAAGTTTCTGAATACATCTCAAATGGTAACTATGTTGGAAATATTATGTCCTTCCCCTTTCCATGTGCCATTCTCTATAGGGAAAGAGTCTCATAATGCCTATTTTCAAAAGCAACTCCCCCAGGCACCTGAGGCTGTTTTCCTTAGCTGGACTCAGACAGTGAAGTTCCATAGACACAGCTCTATCATCTAGCACAAACAGTGTCTTAGATGTGCATTTCTGAGTCAACAAAGACAAACAAGGCAGCATACTAAAAAACTACATAATGATGTGGAAAAGGCAGCAGTACAAAGAGAGTAAAAGATAAAAGTGGTTTCTGCATGTTAGAAAAAAAAGATAAGATAAGCAGAGAGCGCTTGAATATATTTAGGGAGGTAAAAGTTTCCTATATAACATGGCATTGATGGATACATTTCATCATATATATTTGTCAAGATCCATGGACACAGAAGACTCACAGTGAAAACTAATATAAACTTTAGACTTTGAGTCAAAATATTAAATCAAAATTGAACAAAGACCTAAGCATATGCGATTCATAATTACAAAATTCTTAAAAGCAAGTTTGGAAGATTCATGAAAACTGATTTGTCATGGATTTTTAATATATATATATATATATATATATATATATATATATATATATATATACCTCCAAGAAGAGAAAAGTGGGTAAAGTGGACATAATCAAAATTTATTGTTGTACTCACAGGGAATTATAGCTCTTACTCTCAGCAAAGAAGCTTCCTTTTGCATCAGGGAGAGACTATCGAAGAAATCCACAATTGGTCAAAACACAGAGAAGAGATCAGGGGTGTCCAAACCCAACCAGTACATCTACAGCACATCTCCTCCTCTCAGGGCTCAGGCACACCCTAGAAGTGGGACAGAGAGACTGAAAGAGTCAGAGGAATGGAGTGATTGCTACAAAATACTGTATATGAGAGGAAATCTGAAAAATTTGTTCCCTAAAGATCCCCTATAAAACGAGACCAGTTGACATGGAACACAGACAAACAAATCTTATCAAGTCCCACCTCCTAGAAGGAAAGCTATAGACAGTTAGTGACTGCTAGGAGAAGAAAAAGCAGTCTTCTCTAGGGGTGAACCCCTTTAAGGTTTTCCAATCACAAGTAGTCAACCCTAAACACATACACATGTGAACCACAATAAATGGATTTATTAGGATACATATATGTGCATGTGTACATGTACATACGTGTGAAAAAATGATAGCTAAAGAAGAAAGGTCAATAATTTAAGAGGTAGTTGGGGGTATGTGGAAGAGTTGGAGGGAAAAAGGAATGTGTGGAAATGATCTAAAAATAGTGCTACTAAATGAAATTCTCAAAAACATTAAATTAAAATGTAGTCTTTATAAATTAAAAAACAATCTTTGTACAGACTTAAAAGGCAGTCAATGGAATGGGAAAATATTTGCAAAAAATATTTGTTCAATAAAGACAGTACTTAGAATATGTAAGGAACTCAGAGTTCAATAGCAAGAATATGCAGATGACTTGAATAGAAACTTGTCAAAGAAGATATACAGATGGCTAATAACCACAGGAAATGCTCCCTAGAGTCACACTGCTCTCAAGGGAAAGGCCTGTGAAGACTGCAGGGAGACAGATCTACATCTGCAAACTGTCTCTTCTGTGGGTCAGCTAGGGCAGCTCTAGTATACTCACTGGTTGGGCATCTTCAACAGTATTTCATGAAGCTCTGGAGCCTGGGAAATCCAAAACCAGGTCACCTATAGAATCTGTGGAATTCTATGGTTGGTCCTGGTTTATGAAATTCTACCTTCTCTTGTATGTTCACATAGCCTAGAGAGCATCTCTTCACTCTCTCCTTATGAGACATTCAGTCCAAGCCTGTTATGCAGGCTCCATCCACCTGATCCCATCAACTCTAGCTACTCTTTGACCTCTGAGGGTGCAAATACATGTGCTATACATACAAACTGGCAAAACATATACATAAACCTAAAAATGAAGTGTAGCGTTCCATTTACATCCTAGCAATCTAAGGGGACCTGGCCCTTTTGGGTGGGAATCCATAATCTGTTACCATAAGGGCCATCCCTCCTAATATCATCATTCTAGGGATTAAAGTTAAAGTGTAGATTTTGCAGAGGTGCTAATATGTAATCCATAATAGCTAATCACTTTTAAAAAATAAATAATACATTTGTGAAAATACACATGTAGGTGAGGATATGAGAAAATTGTATTTTTTTTCTGTTGGTTGTAATCATCTAAATTGGCACAGCCACAAAGGAAACTAGTTTGACAATTCCCCCAGAAAATTAACTGTCAAATTGCCATACTGCCTAGCAATTCCACTCCTAGAAATATGTCCAGTCTACATGTAATGATTTAAGTCATCTGTTGCCATGTAGTCTCAGATAGATTTAGCTAAAATGATTTATCTCATAATATTAAAAGAATTACCATTCTGGTTTTATCTCTGTTGCTGTGATAAAACGTTCTTTCCAAAAGCAGTGTAGGGGAGGAGGGGGTTTATTTGGCTAACACTTCCAGGTCACAGTCTATCCTTGAGGGAAGTCAGGGATAGCGCTCAAGCAGGAGCTTGGAGGTTGAACATTAATTTTTGCACTTTTAGCTAACTATACAGTTCAGAACTACCTACCAAAGGAATGGTGTCAACCACAGTGGGTGAGGACAGTCTACATTAATGAGCAATCCTTCACAGACATGCCCATAGACAAATCTGATCCACACTATTCTTCAGTTAAGACATTGCCATCAGTAATCTGAGTCAAGTTGATAGTTTAAGATGACCAGAATAAACTATTCATAGTAACATAGCAATCTATTAATTAAAATTGTTTTTAAAAGGATACTCTGGAAAGTGTGCCATGTGAGTGTGTTCAGGCATTCACAATGTGGTTTAAAAGAGCAACTAACACATGTTGTAAGCAAGAAAATATCAACATTTCCAGGACCTGGTTTCCCTACATTACAGAGTGGGTTTGATATATTAGTATCTCAGTAGAAAATGTAGAAAGTATATTTAATTGATTTGTTGTTGGTTTACAGAAATATCAGAAGTCTTTCAAAGTTGTTGGCAGAACGGATTCATACTTCTTTCTTCTGAAAAAAACTATCAGCATCAAATAATCTTAATTTTGCTTCCGAAATGGGTTATGAATGCTGGGTACACATTCTCAGTGAGTTCCCAATACAATGACAGTGATGCTTCGAAGATGATGCTATAAAGACACTAGCTCAGAATTGAGTATAATAAAGGCTTATTTATTTAGGAGTAGACTCACAGATCACAGTCCTTTGCACAACAGGGAAACAAGAACTGTAACCAGCATCCAGAAGAGAGAATGAGTGCACACGTTACATCAGCATTAATAGGAGAAGAGCCCATGCCCAGGTGGGCTGGTATCTAAAAGGCTACTGGCTAAAGGCATTCCTAAAGCAATGCTTACTGTCTAACATTTGTTTAAAAACAAACATGCACATAAAGACCACTTCACATGCCTTTTAAATTTCCCCTTCCTGTGGATGGATAACAGCCAATGTGATTACACTTACGTATTGTCAAACTTCTAGAAAAAGATAATTTACTATTTCTTTCAGATCTGAAAGCGCTTATTGTATCAGACAACCTGGTGGTGGTAGATAATGAATTTAATTATATTTCTCTTAAGTAATAAAGCTCAATGAAATAAAAGGTAAGGAAGGGATGGTAGTGGTTGAAAGATGGCTCAGCTGGCAAAGCGGCCACCAGTCAAGTTTGAGGACCACAGTTCTATCCCCAGCACTCAGATAAACAACTTCATGTACTGATACATGTGTATACTGTCAGCATTGGTGAATCAAAGGCAGGCAGATTCCTGGGGTTCCATAGCCAGTCAGCCAAGCCTATCAGAGAGCCCCAGGCTCCAGGGAGAGACTGCATCAAAAAGTAAAGTGACAAAGAGCTATAGATAAAACAACTGCTTAGAGCAGGAGAAATTGAGTTCCCCAAGAAGAGGTCTCTAATTGGTTATCCAATCCCATGGGAATCAGTCCTGAAATCATATATAGACAAGTAATACTAAATAAACTGGGAAAGTTGTATATATTTGCGTGTATGTGTGTGTGTGCATGTGCACATGCGTATGTGTGTGAGGATAACAAAAGAAGACATATTCAAAGTTGATCTCTGGTCTCTATATGTGCATGCATATATATGAAATATATGGTACCTGCACAAATAAACATGAACCTAATACACACACAAATAAAGTAAAATAAAATAATGTTCAGGATACAATTAAATGAAAAGCCTAAAAACATAGAATCCAGTTCATTTTTGTAGTCACATGACTAAAAGTGCAGACCAGACATGTGTCTACTTCATATTCCTCTCATCAGATTCCCTATGTTGAAACGGTGTGGCAGTAACTCTACGTGTAACATTTGTACCGTAACCGTAAGTGTGACATTTGCTGAGCTGTTGCAGTCATGAAGCAGCCTAGAAAATTACCAGCAGTCGGGTTACTAGCTGAGTGTAATAGCCAGTCTTCCTTTTTCACATGTTTGCATTGGTTTAAAGATTCAAATTCAAAATATTCTGTCCCTTCCTTTCACAGAGAACATTCCCTGGAAACTGGAAAATGTTGCAAGACAAACTCTGACTGTGATGTCACTTTCTTGAGTTTGTTAGTAGTAACCCAGTAAATTCCTCTAAACAATGCCCTTCCCTGTGGCTTTTCTTCATCTATTATTATATGAGACATACTT